CTGGGTGTGTGGGCCCAGCTCAGTCAAGATGGAGGCCACACTAGGGAAGACCGGGGACTCGGCTTTGCTTGGGAGGTTCTGGCTGTTCACACATGGGTATCCCTGCATGAACAGGAGTAGAGACCCGATTGGGCGGCAGCCATTTCTTGTTCTATTTTTGAAGCTTTTTGGCTGAAGCCAGTGTTTCAGATGAGGAAATGAAAGTCAACTGATGTAATTCAGTTTAAAATAGGTGTCACCTTTGGGGACCTAACCCAGATTGTAATTTTCTTTTGAGCACTGGCAATTCAGAGCTCAGCAAAGATTATGTCAGGACTCCAGCTAAGGTTTGGGGAGCAAGGAGGGGAGGATTGATTCATTTTGTTGGCAAAAGGTTCTTTTAGATTGTTAAATTTCCCCCAGTTGGGACCTCACTGACTTGGGTAGGTCTTGGAGGATAAAAGTTTTAGCACATCTTAATTTCTTTAATAGTTTAACTGATAGAAAACATTGGATTAAGAGTTAGGAGACCTCCATTTGTGCCTTTGTTCTTCCCTTTTGAGAATGAGAAGATGAAAATGATAACCTTACTCGGTGGTCGTGAGGGTCCAGTAGGGCAGATAGGGTGCCAAGTAAGTGCAAATCAGCTCAGTCAGATTTTGCTGCAAGTTACCCTGCGGGGGCGGTTGCTTTGCTACTCCCTTCCCGGGAGGGAGCGAGTCCGTGTCCAAACTTGCTTTGAAGGGGAAGGTTTCGGGGCCAGCAGAGGAGGGGTTTGCAGGTTTGGCAGAGATGCCCCACCCACCCTCCGTGTGGCTCAGGAGAGCCTGTAGGCTACCCTCTGAACTGGCTGTGCCCACCGAGAGGCCACAGTGGGAGGCGGGTGGATGTGGATAGATGCCATTTGACTCCACTCTCTTGAGCTCTTTTTGAAATGAGTTCGTTAATAAAAGCATGAACATGCTAGAGCCTAGCCATCCTTAACTGGGGCTGATGCACAGGGGACATGCTTCGGGCGTTTCATGCAGCCTTGCGGAACTCTCCCGTCAACACCAAGAATCAAGCTGTGAAGGTAAAGGGGGCTGAACTGCAGCTCTGCTGGGTGGGTGTTGGGACCAGGGCTGTGATTGTCCAGTGTGAGCTCCCTGGGACTCTGGACAGCATCTGTTTCATCTCTGCATTGGTGAGTATCTACCAAGGAAGTGAGTTGGCACCGGGCTGTGTTTCCACGGACGCCTCCTGGCGCTCCTAACACCCAAAGCTGTCAGTGTTCATAGTAAACGCTCCCCAAAGAAACGTTCACTCCTCCCCGAGGCCTCATGGGGTGAGAAGTCAGCCCAGCCCTTCCTGATGAGCAAAGTTATAAATTAGCTTGCCATGTGGGACTTAGCAGTGGTTATGCTTTTATAAGCTATTGAATAAGCTTTATTTGCATAAGGATTTTCAGTGCTTTTATGATTTCCTGCCTCATAAAAACTAGGTGAGACCATACGGTTGTGCAGACTGTATCCGTTACGTTGTCTAAAAGCTCATCGCTGAGACTGTCTAAAATTTGGTCCAGGGAAAGGGGTCTCTTTGGAGCTGGGGTTTTGCCATCTTGTGATGGCACTTTTTTTTTTTGATGGCATCTTGATATAAATGGCTGCACCTGTCAAACACGGAGGAAAATGGCCCCTTTGTTCCATTGAGGGTGAACACAGACAGAAGGTGCAGCCAAGTAGACCTGTTTTTTTTTTTTCAATTTCCACAGTTATGATCCTGTAGAGTTGTTTTTATTTTGTTTTGTTTTTTTGCGGTACGCGGGCCTCTCACTGTTGTGGCCTCTCCCATTGCAGAGCACAGGCTCTGGACGCACAGGCTCAGTGGCCATGGCTCACGGGCCCAGCCGCTCCGCGGCATGTGGGATCCTCCCGGAGCGGGGCACGAACCCGTGTCCCCTGCATCGGCAGGCGGACTCTCAACCACTGCACCACCAGGGAAGCCCATGATCCTGTAGAGTTTTAAGGCCTTGCTGGTGTCATCAGAAATAGGGATGCTTCTCCCCAGGAAACTGCTTATTTCCCCCAAAATAAGTGGAATAAATTACTGGCTTTGAATACTTTGGGATACTTTGAAACTTAAATCAATAAAAGAATTTCACTTAAGCATTCCAAATGAATTAGAAATTGGGCAGTGTTTCTAATGAGTTCTGACTACTTGGTTTGGTGTTTCTGAGCCTGCAGTGCAGGATGTGGATATGCCTGGGCCATGGCTCTAGGCCTCACTCCCTTTCTCTTTCCTCTGTAGGAACGGGCCCAGGGCGTGGTGCTGAAAGTGCTTACAAATTTTAAGAGCAGCGAAATTGAGCAGGCTGTGCAGTCACTGGACAGAAATGGCATTGACTTGCTTATGAAGTACATTTATAAAGGGTTTGAGAAGCCCACAGAAAATAGCAGTGCAGTGTTACTCCAGTGGCATGAAAAGGTATGTGAACGTCAGGCAGCCCACTGAGTCACCCCAGCCCCAGGGTTCAAATCAGCAGGCCAGGCCATCCCAAACAAACAAAGGACAGTCTGATAGGCATGTGAGAATAAGGGGCCATGCCTTAAGCAACCTGGGACATCTGAGCACTTAACCTCTCCCAAGGAAGCAACTGGTAGGGATCTGCCGTCTCTGGTAATCGCCGTTGCTTTAGCTGCTGGTTTGTGCCGGGCAGGCATGGGGGCAGGTGACTTGGCGTGGTAAGGTAGAGGCAGGCTTGCTGGTGGCTGGGACTTTGTAATACTTTCTTTGGGCTTGTGGAGGTGGTGGTTGTGGGTCTTAGATTCAGGCTGAGCCCTCCCATTAGCTCTGAGGGCTTCCTGCTCCAGTCTCAGCCTCACCAGGCCCAAGGGGGCAGTGGCAGATACCTTGGCAGTGTCTTTAACAGGGCCTTCATCCACCTGAAGCATGAAAAGCCTGTCCTTTGCTTGGGTCAGTATAAGAGCAGGGCCTTTCATCAAGCCTGTGTCCTTCCTGAAAGGCTCTGTTGAGTTTTAAGGGAGTGGCCCTTACTGAGGGATCGGTCGCTTGGGCAGCCTGGGGCTGGGCTGTGGCCTTTGGTCCTGCCGGTGGGTGTGCTCTGCCAGAAGGTGAGCTCCTAGGCTTAGTGGGTGGAGGTGGTCGTGGGGCTCAGGGGAACTGAGTGGTATGGAGGCCAGGCTCTCTGGTCCCTTTAAGGCAACTGGGTGCTCAGCCCTGTTGATGTTTCAGCTCTAATGGGCTAGTGTTTGTTTAAGTGCCTACGGCTATGCCTGTAGGCTGGGACATGATGAGCTTGTCAAAGGGAAACTGGGGGTCTCTGTGTGAGCTTGGTAACAATGTTCTCAAGCCCAATTCTCCTGCCTCAAGAGCTAGCAGCTCTTGGGAACCCTTTGTTCCAGGACAGGGCTCCATCCCCTGAATGTGGACCCTGTTGGCACCTCTTAACCGTGCTCTCGTGGGAATCCTTTTTCAGAAGGTCTATGACATGGTCAGGAGCGCATGGTCCCATCTTCCCTGGCAAGCTAGGCTCCCCTTGTCCAACCAAATCTCAACTGACACCTTTTCTTTTCCTGCCCCTACAGGCATTAGCCGTAGGAGGACTAGGCTCCATTATAAGAGTTCTTACAGCAAGAAAGACTGTTTAAAAAAAAAAAAAGACTCATGTTACCTTGAGAAGAATTTTGGATGCACAGGCTGTTGAAGAAGGGATTGACAATGGACCATCTTCCTCAGAACTCCCAAGTAAACTATTTCAGGACATGCATCCGCTAAAGTGTATTTTATTTTCAAGGTGGAGGGAGAAATCGTCTTACTGTTTCCTAAATCCTTTGCAGGATCTGATAGTCTATGCCTTTGTCCACAAGTAATGCAGAACTGACATTGTGACTGTCTACCAGAGTGGCTGGCCTGCATTGGTCAGGTGTACCTCTGTGCACTGCCTGTGTAAAAGCGGGGAAGGATGACTTGGGCAGGTGCAGATTCGAGGGATGTGGTAAAAAAGGGAGAGCTTGGTTTTTGTTGAAGTGGAAAACCCCCAAGGGTTTGTACAGACATCCCGACCTCCCAAAGAAGGCGGGCTCTCTTGGGTTCATTGTAAAGTGCCTGCTGCATCAATAAAGCTCTTGGCTTATTAGTATATACTCTGCAGTGTGTTTCATGTATATAAAAGAAGTGGGTAATGGATGGTAATGAATGAGAGGTCGCCTGTTCTGGAAACTGGAATGGAGGGGGTAGACGTGTGTCCCCACCGAGCCATGGGAGCGAGCGTGGCATTCCAGCCCTCCTGTCACAGCAGTACCTCAGGCCTGGGCTGCAGTGCTGCTGGCTGCTACAGAGAGCTGTTTTGCTGAATAACTAACTATTTATTGTTTTTACTTCTTTCATTTGTGTGTAGTTTTGGAGCTTATTTAATAAAGTGCCAAACATTCAATAATTGACCTAAGCTTTAAAAGTCTTCAGTTTGTGTGACTGCACTTGGAGTCTTTTGGGAGCAGGCTTAGACGGGCCCAGTCACCACCTCCTGACGCTGGGTTCGGCTGTTCGGCAGGAACACCGTGATGTTGTTTTCTTTAAAGGGTTAAGAGCCAGAAACAGGTAGCAATCAGCCTATAGATATAAAAGGAACATTTTGTTCCCTGTAACCACTAACAGTGGGCCTCTCTGAAGAGCAGAGATGCTTTTCTTTCCCTTTTGGCACATGTAACTGCTGTTTGCTAAAGGCAGGGACCCCGTTCATGTCCCTGAAGCTCTTTCCAGTCATGTGGGCCTTGGAGATGGAGGTTGACCAAAGTGACAATCCTCCCAACTCCTCTGCAGAACCCCACCCTTCCTGGGAGGTAGGACTGGGCTGCTGGCTTCATTAAATTACATGTAATGTTTATTCACCTAAACCTAATCTGGGGAGGTGCTTCCTGGAAGACTAGTGTTCTACAGGCCTTGAACTTGGCCTTGGGAGTTTTAAATGTGAGACACAATGTACTAAATTTAACAAGTTAAAGAAATACTGACACCAAACTATATCAATTAAATCCACTGCCTCTGGATTGAAGAGCTTTAATCAAAAAGTGTATTGCACCACAAGTGAATTTTCTACAGCAGTTTTAGATAATACAATCTCCCTGTGTACAACATGGAGGGTGAGATCAAGATCCAATGCTCATATAAAGGACTATATATACTGTCTCTATCACAGAACTTTTTATACAAGTAAAAGTGCATCAAATCACTTAAAACATTTATTCCACTCTTCTTAAAGCTGAAGGAAATTCAACATGCAGGAGGAAAGCCTGATTAGAATGAATCCTCCCTGTGCAAGTACAGACTTAGTGAGGGGCCCCACAACCAACGACGCCTAAAATGGCCGGCGAACGTGGGTGGTGGGTGAGACCAGCTCGAGGGCTGGAGAAGCCACTGGGGAGTCGGGCGGGGCTCCCACGGCTGTGTGGTAGTCGCCTCTAGCAAGCCCTGAACTACCCAATCTTAGGGACTCTTTCCTGGAAGAGCTGGAAGAGCTACCTCCTATTCATCAAAATTATGGAACAGAAGGGACTCCTGTTTTGTGTCCCCACCAGATATATGGAAAACAGCATTCTAAACACAGGTGAGACATCTGCAGGGGGAGCCATAGGAGGAGGTAGGTAACCGGAGAATGGGTCACTTGGATGGCAGAGAGCCCAAGTGGGGACGAGGGTGATGCTGCCCTTGCTTGGTACTTCTAGGTCCACGGAACTGTCTTATGTTAATTGCAAATCCTTGTTTTCCTGTGAGACATACTTTATTTTAACCCTAAACATAGTTGAGAAACATAACTTTACATCATTGGATAACTGATGATAAATTTAGGAGCTCCAGTTATTCAGTTTTTTATTTAACCAATAAAACTTTCATCAAACTATAACTCAATATATGGTTTCCCTTTAGATTTGATAGTGTGCCTTATCCAGGGCAAGCACATTCCCTTTTCTTTATAATGATAACTAATACACGTTTTTATCAGTCAGTTCCAGAGCCATTTGCATGCTATCAAGTACTGCAGCCAGCTGGGGGCTGCCTGGTTGCCATACATGAATGTAGTGTCATCTTAAATATTTGGGGGTAGGGTGACAGACAGGGAGAGACGGTGGCTCCACTTACAAGGCAGTCCACCCTCCAACGTTTTGGTCAAGCCTGGGGAGAGGGACAGCTGCTGCTTCCTTTGAATACAGCAGACTGTCCTTAGCAGTAGAAAATGTGATTAGCATTTGCTCAGTGTTACAACACAGAATTAAGAGCTAAACAAATGAAACACCACCACTGCTTCAGAGGGAAGCAGCTGCCAAAGAATGCTAGTGACATTCCAAAGAGACAGGGCTCCCAATCTTAGAAATAATTTCCTCTTGATGCTCTGATTTTCCTTTAAGAACACCAGTTAAATGGATTTTATAATACAGAAGACATGTTTATAATAGCAAGGAACTTTAGCTATAAAAAATAGTTTAAAATGGTTTACCAGCAACCTATCCAAGACAAGTACATTCATTAAAAAGGCAATTGAGTGTATTTGGTACTAAGGATCTTTTTATACATTTGCTAGTTTTCTTCAGTAAAATGAGATACTGTCAGAAAGGTGCATATTCATTAATCCACACTGGCCCCAGAGTACCTTAAAGACGGACACAACTAAAGTTCTCGGTGGTCTGGGAAACGACGTGAAATAATGTTTCCTTGGGAGAAAGGGTTAAAAAGCTGCTTCTAACTCATCTGAACCCAAACATACTGAAAGGGAAAGGGAGTTTTTAAAGGCCGGCCTCACTGAGTTGGCTCTTCGTGGCAGAACTAGGTGGGTCTGGGCTGCTGGGCACCATCTTGAAGGGCTGTCTATGTCCAGCGTCATCACCACACGGTAGATCAGCCGCCTCCTCTCTGACACATGCTGAGGGCTTCAGCTTTAAGTGCTCACCTTGAAAGAGGATTCAGGGGCAGATGGGTGCTGGCCAGAGCTGGGATTTTAGCAGCACTGTGGAAATGTGGGTAGTGCCAGAACCCTCTGGTGACCAGAACAACAGGATCAGCTACCTCCTGAGGTTCTTATCAGTCTGCAGGAGTGGGCCTTAAGTCTTGTAAACAATGTTCAGATGCTTGTACAAAATACTGCAGTTACAGTGATTAAAAACCCACCCAGACTGGTGTGTCAGTGTTCTTTTCACAGAAAAAGTGTCAGCCCTTGGAGGTTCATCCTTGGGTGGTGCCGCCTAGGACCATGGTATCCGAGGGTTGGAGATGGATGGCCGGATGCTGCCCTTGGGAGCTGGCTTGGACCCAAACCACGACATCTGGGTTTGAAACAGGAAAAGCTCCTGAGATGAGAATCAGGACTAGGTACGAAGCAGCTGAAAGAGCCCCTCCCCAGCCGTGGGCCGCCACCCCCGCCCTCCACACACCCGGACTCTGGCTGTGAGCAGAGCAGTGAAGACGATGGTTCTGGTAACCAGTGTGCAGGGCTGCAAGGCCCATTCTAAAGATGGGAGGGAGACAGGAGCAAAACCTGAGGTGACAGGAACAAGGGAGTGGAATTTAGGTAACATTTCCTTAAAATGTTTTCTATTATAGCATTTACGCAGGTACTTTTTGAATATTTTTCATTTTTTAACAAAGTCTGGGTGCTGGCCAGACCTGGGGCTGTTGATGAGGTGATACCAATGAAAGTGCTCTGGAGAAGAACACAAGGCCCTGTTAGTCAAGTACAGCAGAGACCTGTGGGCACAAAGCATGTCCTCGGTAAATACTACCCGAGTCCAGTTCATCAACCAAAAGCACCTTCCAAGCTAATGATGCAGCTGTGGGCTGGTCTCACCTGCCAGGGCTGGGATGACTGACTACATTTTTTGGGAGGCGGACAGCAGACCAGGAAACCCTACCTTATACTCCAGGGTTTCTCTGAGCATGTTCTCCTCCTCTTGTGAAAAGTTCAGCAACACTGACACAGCTTTTATAAGATGAAAAGCCTGAAACAAAGCAAATCTTGCTGCCATGGGCCTCGGTCAGTTATCAGGCGGTCAGGGGGCTACATGGCAGCATCTCCTGGTCCTGCTCCTCCTGTGCGCTCCGAGCTTGGTCAGCAAGGACCACGCAGAGGGTGGAGGTGGGCATTCTGAGGTCTGCTGGTTCTTTTCCTCCCCCACCTTTTACTTCAGGGACTGGCGAGACCACCAGGACGACCACTGCAGCCACCTGCTCTTCGGCAGGAGGCAGGACTGCTGGGCGGATTCAGTTCCCTGGACTCTGGCCTCAGCATCCGACCCACATCTCCTCCCAGAAGCCAGTTCCCTACTCGGTGCCCCCTGCTTGCTGCTCAACCAGCAGGTCAGTGCCCGCTGGAGAAATGACTGAGTGCTCACGTTGGTGGTCAAAGCGGAATGGGGGACAGGAAGAAAGAAATGGATTTGGTGGGAAGCCAGGCAAGGCGCGGACAAATGAACCAGGCCCTGGGGTGGAATTCAGTACCCAAAGGGCAACTCAAAAGCCTTTTACCTCAGATTCGCGACAGGACATGAATTTTAAAACCACATGTTTGAGGTACTCAAAGTTGATCTCGCGGGCATCAGTCAGGTCAGCATTATTCGTGACAGAAGGGGCCATGTTTGTCATTTCAGGCCCAGGCTTCTCCCGGACTTCAAAAAGCTCGTTATCAGGTCTGATTTTCTGAAAAACCAATGGAAGGATGCTACATTGAACCCTTCAAGACAGGTTCGAAAATCACAGGGGAGATTCACTTGGCCCTGGCTGTGATCACCTGCAGTTCTCTGCCACACCCTGCACAGAGTAGGGCGAAAAGGGCCCCACCTGCGAAGGAAGCACCAACACCTGAAGAAGGCAGGGTGCTGGCTGAGGAGGGAGAGAGGTATGTGGGGAAGTTCAGCCACTTCCTTTACCCACATCAGGACTCGTCTCCTGGGGCAGTGAGCACCCAGCCAGGGCAGAGGCGCCGCTCTCCCACGTCTGGGCCTGGCCTCTGCCATTCACACACGGCCATACGTCACCTCACTGACCTCTCAGACAACACACAGGCTCAGAGAAAGAGGGTTCGTGCCGGGGGTCACAGAGCCACTTTCCAGGAGCACGTTCAAGGTGGCAGGGCCACTGTCCCACCAGCCTGACTTCTCAGAGACCTCTTGCAGTCCCCTGGGGGGGGAGCGTCATCAGGCAGGAGGAGCACAGAGGCAGGAGGGCATGGGCAGCGGGGAGAAGGGGGCCACTCACCAGCTCCTTCTGCAGCGTCTTCTTGAGTTCCAGCATCCTCTGCTGCATCTGCTTTATGGTCTGAGGCAAAGCCCCACCCCCACAAAAGGCCATTCATTAAACGCACGTTTCACCATCTTTGAAGTGCAAAGGACCACAGAGCAGACAGACAACCCCTTGGGTCCCCATACACCTGTTAGAAGCCCCTGCTTCGTCTCCTGAGGAGCTTGCACTGCCACACCTGCTGCCTCGGCCTCCTTCCCCCACGTGCTGAGGCTGTGCACAGCCCTGCTCTCCTGGCCCCGCCGCTGCCGCGGTGCCGTCCCACCCCTCCCGGCCTGGGGCCTTAGGACTGCTTCTGGTGCTCGCCTCCACAGGCAGCGTAGCTAGAAACGCCTCTGCACAGTATATTCTGCCCTTCAGAATGATATTTATGTGCTATCATCCCCAACTAGGATACTTGGGCCAAAATTTATGATTCTCATCATCACCATTGATCTCCTGAAATACCATAATAATTTTTAACACTTATTTTGAACAGTATTAAAGATCGTGGTTTTTCAGCACAACCCAACAACAATGGGTTTTATGTCTTTATTTTCCTTATTTATTTTTAGTGAGCTTATTAGTATTATGGGCCTTAAATATAATTTATTACACATTCCATTAACCACCCGAAAGGCTGAACTCTGGTTTCCCAATGAAAAAATTTAATGTGTAATCGACATTACAGGGAAAAAATTTTAAATAAAAAATTTCTCCAAAATCTCACAACTATATCAAAATGAGTTTTTCCTGTGGACTTCTAGTCCACGTCACCATTCTTGCACTGAGTAGCTAGAATTTTGAATAGTAGTTTTCATTTATCAGAGTTTCCACAGCTTTATAGTTTTGCTAATTATAACTTTTAATGTGACAGTAACTCTAGGGGATGCCCCATATCTTCTTGTGTAGCTGAGTTACCTTTTTTTTTGGCCACATTGCATGGCTTGTGGGATCTGAGTTCCCCGACCGGGGATTGAACCCGGGGCCATGTCAGTGCAAGCGCCAAGTCCTAACCACTGGACCACCAGGGAACTCCCTGAGCCTCCATTTTCAAACAAAGCTGTAATAAGCTTCGTCGTCTCAAGAGCAGTATGGCCACGGCCCCCTGGGGATGAGACGGCTGGGAAAGCGCCTCCAGCTCCTGTCACACTGCCTGCAACACCCCACTGACAAAATGGTAATGTTTCGTTCCAGTCTGTATTCTCTGCTTGACTGTGAAGCTGGGCATTCCCCCAAAAGTACATTTGCTAGTTTATGTTACTTGATTTTCTAGGTTTTGACTCATTCATTAACTTATCCAATGAATACCGAGTCTCTACACTGGCCTAGAGGCTGCGGAAACAGCAGGAAAAAAAAAAAAAGAAAAAATGTCTGCCCTCAAGAGAGAACAGTGTCAATAAGCAAATATACAGTGTATCAGAAGGTATTAAGAGGCCTGGAGAAAAAAAAGCAAGGTGAGGGGACCGGGAGTTCTGTTGGTGAGGGCTGGCAGGGTAGCAGGATGGCCTCACTGACAAAATGACACCATAAAGGAAGTGAGGGTAATTGGGGAAAGGATCTTCCAGACAGAAGGCTCAGCAAGTGCAAAGGCCCTGAGGCGGGAGGGTGCTTGATATTCACAGAAAGGCAAGGCCGCTGTGGCTGAGAGGGAATGCTGGGGGAGAGCAGAGGGTACGGGGAGGGGGGCAGTAAGGAGCCAGACCACAAAGGGTTTGTGGGCCACTGCAAGGACTTTGGCTTTTATGGGGACAGAGAGTCATCAGAGGGCCAGAACAGACAAGTGTCAGGGAAACCAATTAGAAGCCCAACACCATCCTCTAGGGAAGATAGGATGGTCATCTGGTCTCGGGTGGTAGCAGTGGCAGGGATGAGAAGCAGCTCATTGCGCGTACAGTTTGAAGGGAGAGCCAAATGGATTCCTTAATGATTTGGATGTTGCTTGTGAAAGAAACAAAGGGGACAAGGATGACTCCAAGGTTTTTGCCATTTACTGAGACAGGAAAGATGGCAGTAGATGCTAGAGAGCGTGGTCAGTCTGAAGTCTGCTTCTGGATGTTGTAAATTTCAGGGGCCTTTCAGACACTGACATAGAGAAATAGGGTAGATACAGGAGTCTACACTTCACAGGAGCCGTCTGGATTCAAGGTATGGATGTGGTGCCAGCAGCACACAGGATGGGGGAGATCGCCAAGGATGTGAGTGCAATTTGGAGAAGCTGTCCGAGGGCTGTACCCAGGGACACACAGTGTGCACTCTTCTATATTTTATATTTCATGATAAGAGATTAAGAGCCTGTGTGTGTGTGTGTGTGTGTGTGTGTGTGTGTGTGTGTGTGTGTGTG